TTTTGTCAGTATTGGATGAGCTAAAGGAAAGTCAGTGGAAGGACAATGAAAGCTCTTAGGTAGAACTGTTTAGACTCTGAAGGACTCAGCTACTTTACACAGCACACAGTTGATGTCATGAAATAGGTACGCTTTAGGTCACATTCTGAGAACTGCAGAATGAGATGTTTATGAGTACTCACTGCAGCAAGAAAAGGAGAACTGCATAAGCAGTTCCTGCAACCTTACCACACCTGAACTCCCCCTGCTGATATCCTATAAACCTGTCTGTGGAGCACAGCCTAGCCTCAGAGACATTCTAGGTGATCTCCACTTGCATAGGGAGGAAATAGCAGCACATTTACAATTAACCCCTTGAATTGGACCCCTGGCTTAGCTGGTATTTGAATATATGTTTGCAGCACTATAATTTCACTTTTTGGAGAAATAAAAATAAGAAAAAAACCCCACACTTTAAGGAACTAAGAAAGCAGAAGAGTAGCCCAGAACAGCTGAGGCAGAAGCTCCTGCTCATAAATCAAGCCTTTCAGTCATGAGTGATATCAGTTCCTATGTGGCAAATAAGAAATGAGAATTAAATAGTTTTTGTGCTCCAGATGAAGAGCAGAAGAAAGTCAAAACACCTTAAAGTAAACAAAAGGTGCTGCAGAAAGCTGAAGAATTAGATTAGAATGTCATGCTTAACTGTTCAGAATATCCAATCCAAAGCCCATTTGACTTCATGGGAACCCTCTACAGTGTTTTAGTTAGGCCTTAATTACAAAAAAAAATTGCTGTCAATTCACAGAATTCTCACCTTTACCGTAGCTGACACAGAAGAAACATTCCCATACTGGACATGCTTATGGAGATGATTACAGATGGCTTGAAGTGTTGGATGAACTTCCACACAATATTTACATTTGTAGCCAACTATCTTCCTCTCCTTAAGTTTTGAAGCATCTTCCAAGTGTCCAAAAGTACATGAGTACATCGAAGTACATAAGTATTAATCAGTTATACTAACGGAATACTGAAACATGCTTCTAATATCTCACTTTTAGGAATATACCCAAACCAGATTTTGCACTTTAAGGGTAATTGCATTTAGTGTACACATGTATATTGGGTCTGGATGAGATGGAGTTAAGTTTCCCTATAACAGCCTTCATAGTGCTATGCTTTATATTGGTAGCAAGAAGGGTGTTGATAACACACCAGTGTTTTGGCTACTGCTGAGCAGTGCTCCCACCGCATCAAGGCTGTCTCTCCAACATTCTCCTGCCCCCCCAACCCCAAAGGCTAGTAAGCTGGGAATGGGCAAGATCTTGGGAGGGGACATAGTCAGAACAGCTGACCCAAATTGACCAAAGCGATATTCCATACCATATAGCATCATGCTAAGAAATAAAAGCTAAGAGAAGGGGGTGAAAATTGTGGTTGGACATTGCCACTGATGGAAATTAGAGAATAAATCTTTTTTTTTTTCTTTGCTTTTGCTCATGGCCTTTGATTTTGCTTTATTAAACTGACTTTATCTTGACCCACAAGATTTTTTCCATCTTATTTTCTTCCTTTCCTGTTCTGCTGAGGAGAGGGAGTGATAGAGTGGCTTGGTGGGCACCTGGCATCCAGTCAAGGTCAACCCAATACAACATGCTATAGCACAAAACTTTAATCTCAATTTGCGCTGACTTCTATTAAAGCTCTCAAAATAGGTGGACAGGATGTACATAGGAAAAAACCTTGAGTTTCTGCATAATAGTAGTCCCCTATAAGACCATTAATTTTTAACTTACAAGACAAAGTCATGCTCTTTCATGGTTCCCCCCCCCACACCCAATTGTATGCTTTTCTACAGCAAGTAGAGTTACTCCAGATGGGGAGAAGGGTACAGAAAAGAGTAGCAGAAATTGTTCTTCTGTTCACAGGGACACTTGCCCAAAGCTTGAAGTTATTGGGTAGATGCACATAAACATCAGGGTTTTTATCAGAAAATGTACTGGAATAGATAAGATTGAGAAGAAAATTTGTGTTATTTCAAGGTACATTGATGAGCAGTAGAATGGGACATTTGCTAAAGAATCTATGAGAAGCAAACAGCAGCCTTGCAATAGAAGAATAAATAACGGTCAGATACAGATAGCCATCCATAAGGGTGAAAGGAAGGAAGAAAGATAGGGAAAAATCCCGAAGGAAATAGTTGGAAGGAGCAGAGCTTCCCATGGAGCCTAGGAATAAGTGGAGAATGAAGGAAATTAAAGCAGAATATGTAACTGACTTATAGAGACCATTGACATGCTGAGTCACTCATTAACCTGTGTTTATTTGGCTGTCAAAAAGAACATAAAAGTGGGTATTAGTAATAAGGAGCCCCTTGGAGTATAGAATAATAGCTTTTAGTTTTTTTTCTCCCTGGGGAGAGGAAGCAGAGGAGACCAGACACACAGATCCTTACCCTCTCTTGTTTGAAATCTGTAAAAGCACCATCTGCATATTTCTGCTTGCTCAAAAGCTGTTTCCTCCTCTTCTGGTGTTTGGCACGCTTCTGGAATTCCTCATTGTGACTATTAAAGTGGGAGGTCAGCTCTGCCATGCTATGCAATTTAGTATCACAGTGCTTGCACTGGTAGGCAGCATCATGAAAGCAGGTGCCACTTCCCAGTATGGTGAAATCTCTCTTCAAATCCTTGCTGTAATCCAGTGTAATACATGCACAGCAGCTCTGCTGTGCTGAAGGATAGCTTGAAACATTTTATGCACCTGAAGGGAAGCCACTCAGTTTCCTGAGCCGTGCTCTCCACCTCAGGCTTTTCAAAGTCATTCCTTTCCTCAGCTGGAGTTGACTTTTCATGTTCAGCAGTGAAGTAACTTCCTAGCTTGCTCACATGCTGCTTCTTGGGGAAAACACCAGGGTGACGCTTTATGTAGTGGGACACAATATCTTTTTTGCTAAAAGATTGAAAGGAAAAAAGTGAGCATTTCTTCTTTTCCACAGCCCTCCTCAGCTCCTCACTTAACTGAGGAGTTTCATCTTTGGGAGGAGATGGAATGATCACTTTATTGGGTTTGTCGCTTAATGTCCTGGAGGCTGCTAAACAATGAGTGTAGTAAGCATCAATGTCATGCCTTTTCTGGTAGTGTGCTGCAAGCCCTTTGCAGATAGGGTTGGTGTAGGAACACAAAGCACACTTGAAGAAGCTGTTCTTGCCTTCTGGTTGTGCCTGAACGTTATTATGTTTGATGCAGTAGTTCCTGGCTATCCCCTTCCGGGTAGAACAGAACTATTTGCAGAGCTGACACTGGAACACTGTGTGAGACACTAAGTGAGAACTGGAGAAATGAGGTGCTGAGATAGAGACTTCTCCAACACCATCAGCAGCAATTTCTGAGGAGGCCTTGATTTCAGTTACCATGTCTGGCTCCACTGAGGCAGACACCTTTGGCGGTGACTGAGCAAAACCATCAAATTCAGGCTGATTATGGTATTTCTCACAGTGAATTTTGAGCTTCTCCAGCGTGCCATGGGTGTAAGGACATAGTTTGCACTGGTATGCACCATAGACTTGCTTGAAAATCCTACCCATCTCTTCTATGTCATTCTGGGCAATGTCATTCGACTGTTTCACATCATGTACAAAGTCTTCAGCAGTGACCTTTACTGATGGGTGCCGTTTCTGGTAATGTGTGAGGACACCATGAATACGTATGTTAATGTGTGAGATGTGTCAGGATGATTCATGTTGAGAAGAAACAATGTGGAGGTCATGAGGAAAGAGTTTTTTCGGGGTTACCTTGTTTTTACAAAGAGAACCAGATGGGGAGGAAATGAGACACAATGTAAATAGTTGCTTGAGAACTTTTTTCAGAAATCGGATAACACCGGTCCTGCTGTTTTAGCAAAAAAACCAAGAAGTAATTGAATCTGCGCAAGAAGATAAGGACGACCACTGACAGAAGATACTGCGCAAGTGTAAATAGGAGGAAAACTAATTATAATATGAAGCGGGGATAGGTTATGCATATGTATAGGCGTATTGAGAAACTTAATGAATATGTATTAGTCAAAGAAATATAAACCCGGAAAAAGAACTGTACGGTGTGCGGAGGCGGAGCACAGACTCCACACGCACCCAGCGCTGTTTGCTTGCATTTACTCATTTAATAAATTGTAAACTTTAATTGGAATCCTGTTTGAGGCTAAATCATTTATCACATAATGTATGGGCAATGTCTGCACCTGTACACAGCACCTGGGTTAATGTCTATGTCCTGTGCAAAGTCAGTAGCTTTCACTTTCATGCCAGGATGCTTTTTGCCGTAATGTGTCAGTAGGCCATGCAAGTTATTGTACTCAGACTGACAAACTGTACACTGATATGGAGTGGAGGAGATGGCAGGGTTTGCAGAAACCAGCTGAATAGATTTTTCCTGGGAAAGACTGGGGTTCTCCACATCCTGGTCCATCTTTGATGTTTCAGTATTGATCCTGGCCCTAACTTCATCAAGCTGTGTGCCAATTTTCTCAACAGCATATTTCTTCTTAATGATATCTATCAATACAGATTCATCCCCATTCATAGCCCAAGGGTGAAAAGTCTGATAGTGATTAGTAATATCCCAAATGGAAGATGCTTCAAAAATGCAGTCTCTGCATTTATAGGTCTTCACTTCTGTTGGCATCACTAGGATAGGAGGGGAAGGATCCGGACCTGCCCAGAGTTCAGTTGCCATATATATATAGTCAACATAATGTTCAGGATGTCTCCTTTGGTAATGCACAAGCAAACCACTTGGTTCCGTATGTGAATAAATGCACCATTCACAGTGATAACCAGCTTCTATCAAGCCATCCAAAAATGTCCATCTCAGAATGGATGTGACCGTGGCCTTCAGATTTGAGTGGTCTTTCTTAATATGCTTCCTCAATGCGTAAAAGTAAGGTGATGTGTCGCTACACTGCCTGCATTTGAGGTCTCTCAGCTTTATCTTGTCCTGTTCAGTGCTGGAGGTGTGAGCAGGCAGGCTGCCAGGTGGTTTCTTCTGGTTACGATCACAAAGGCTTCTAATGGTGGCTGTATGTTGCCTAATCACATCTGCGTTGGCTTTGAAAACACAATGCTTCTTTTGATAATGAATGAGTACACCTTTCACCGTCTGGTTTCCATAATTGCAGAAGAACATTTCATTCTCAAGAGGATTCACAGACCTCTCAGAACTGACCCGGCTCAACTGCTGCACTGACACTGGCAGTTTCTGAACCCCAGGTGGCAGCTCACCAGCCTTAATCACTGCAGCAGTAGGGGGTGCCTGCCTGATGTAATTGGCAGTGACCTTTATTTCCGGATGTCTTTTCTGGTAGTGGACAAGCACTCCCACAACTGACCAGTTGCTGTATGAACAATGTTTGCAATAGTAGAGTTCAGGAGTAAGGTCTGGGGGCAGTAGTAGGGGAGGTGGAGGTTGCAAAGCCAAGTTGGACAGTTTTGAGGAGACAGACACTCCCATCTCAAAAGACATCTGAGCCAGGACTAAAACTCTTTGTGGCACTTCTGTTAAAACTTGCTGGCACAGTAGTCCCATGAGCCACGGGGGTGGAGGTTGCCATAGTTTTTTGAGCAGATTTCAAGATCTCTCTCACTGTCTGAGACACCGTGTTTAGCCCCTCTTGCTGCTCAACAACATAGCTTGAAAATATCATGGCATCGTTAATTTTCACTGTTATATGCATTCTTTGGTAATGTGGCATCAGGCTTCTAACATTTGGGCTAGTGTAAGAACAGAAGTGACAGTGGTAGATGAGATCAGAGTGATCTGAGTTCAATACATTAATAGCTTCAGGGTGATGCTCCTCATAGTGTTGCTGCGGATCTTCAAAGTTCATATAGTCAATATAACACTCAAGGCATCTGTATACTGCACTGTGATCATTGGGATCCAAGATATACCTAAAGCTGAATTTTATGTAGGGGTGCATCTGTTGGTAGTGGGTGCTAACACTCCTGGCAGATTTGTTGCTAAAATCACAGTGTTTATAATAGTAAAGCCTGTCAGAGTCATTAATCTCCACATTTTCATTGTTCTCAAGACCATATATATTTGGCTGGCTTCCCAGAACAGAGGCATTAGGGCTCTGTTGATCTTTCATGTCAATGGAAGAAAAATAATCTTCCTCATCTTCAGATAAAGTGAGCTCAATCTCTGCTCTGTTGGTGGAATTATAATCATGATGCATGTTTCTGAAGTTTGCATCCTTCTGGGAATCATTAGTCTCTCTCCCCCACATTTGCTGGGGTGCATAAGAACTAGAAACCTTCACCATTGGTTCTATTTCTTCTTCTCTGTCTAATTCTACTTCTACCTCCACCTCGTCTTCCTCATCTTCCTCATCATCCTCTACATCCTCTACATCAGTCACAGCATCTTCTTGCTGTTTGTTTTGGTTTGTTTTGCTCTGCAGGTTGCTTGCTATTTCATCAATTCTACTTCTTTTCTTCACTGGTGAGAGATCCAATGGGCAGTCATTTGACACCTTCTGAGCAACCTTAGTAACAAAATTCTTTTTAGATGAGAGACCAAGAATTGTGGTCTGGCTTTTCTTCACTGTGCTGACACAGGTGAAAGCGTCTGCCTCGCTCTCTTGGGGCATGTTGAATGGCAGTCCATCACATTTTTCTAAGTTGTCACAAAATGCATGCTTGTGCTGCTGATGAACTCTAAGGCCTTTCAAAGTAGTGGTAGAATAGTTACACATCATGCACTTATAAGGATTATGTGAATGGGGTTGAAGCAACTGCTGCTGTTGCTGCTGCACTGTTTCCATAATCCTAGCTGACTTCCTTCCATTTATATTTCCACTTTCATAAGAAACTATGTTGTCATTCAAAGAGGAGACAATGTTTTCACTCTGAGAATTCACAGTGTCCCAGTCTGATATTTTATCTGCATGACATTGCCTATGAGCTCCAAGTTTTAATGAACTCTTACAGGTGAAAGGGCATTCATTGCATTTGTATACATTTGTCTTCCCAGACAGATGGATATTCTCAATGTGACAGGAGATGCTTTAGCGATGCATTGTGAGGAAAGGGCAAAAAGAACATTGGAACCTGTTCATGTATCGTCTAAAAGGAATTCCTTTTGTTTCCAACAGCTTGTTGCCATCAGATCCCATCAGTTGCTCTGCAGATATTCCTTAAGTCTGGTGGCCCACAGAGTTCAAGCCATTCTCACTGTCCACTTCATTAAGCTCTTTGTCTGAGCTGGAGTCATTTAGCATACTGCTTGTTTCCAAGTCAGCAACTCCATAGCAGGATCTGTCAGACAAATTAACTATGCTCAAGTTGTGAGGTAATTTAGACTTCATTTGAGGATAAGACACAGAAGAAAACTTAGAGGATATAGAAGAGTTGGGCTCGATAAGGGATTTGCCTGTAGAGCTTCTGAAGTTTGAGACATCAGCATTCAACATATCACATCCTGGCATATTCACAGAGACATAGTTAGAGTTTGGGGAGGCATTGTGGGCACTCTTACTCTGCACTTCAGGCGCACTGGTTCTGTCTTGTTCCTGCCTCAAACTTGACAGTATTTTTACCATGCTGCGGTACTTCTTCATCATATGGTCACAACCAGTGCTCCCTTCGAGGTGTCTGATAACTGCACCATTCACAGCAAAAGTTGCCTCTGGACTTTGTAAGAGGCTTGACCATGGACTCCAAAATGCTCCGTTCTACCACCTCTGCAGGCAATTCCTTGCAGGGTTCCTGCACTGGCACAGAGGCAGATGTTAATTCAGATACAGCAGAGGTAGCAGTAGGAGTAAAACTCTCCTTCAGATTGTTTTTGTGATACATTTTCTGGTGCTTAATAATCCTTGCGCGCCTTGGTGATTTGTAGGTGCAGAACTGGCAAGAGAAAACTTTGCCAAACCCCTTGTGCATCGTGATGTTGTTATTTAAGGATCCAGCAGTGTGTGACCCTACTGAGCTCCCCCCAACTTGTGCTCCATGAACCTTGCAAGTGTGCTCTATGAGGAGGTTTTTAGATCGGAAGTAATGCACACAGAATTTGCACTGGAAAAACTTGTTGGTTGGTTTATGATTTGGAGCCATATGTTGACAATAAAAACTTTGGCTCTGGCTATAATAACTTCCAGTTTCCATCTGAGTTGCTGTATTTTGCCCTAAAAAAAGAATTAAAAATTAAATATGTAAATAAGTTAAATTAGACCGTTTCCCCCCCATCTACCCTGTATGCATATGATACATATACATGTTGAACATGTTAATCATATCAGAATTTCCCCACTTATTTATGATTAGACCTGTGCATACGGGAACCATCAGAAAACTAGCAGATTGTACATACTTTAGGATAGACAATTTCCAAAATAAGCTTCTTGAAATAAAAAGGTACACTAATAAGGTTCAAAACTTCTAGAGCTCATGGTGGTGTCAAGCAAGGAAAAGAAGCAATACAAAGAAGCATGTGAAAAAAAGCAAGATGACAAAGCCACACATTTGCATTTACAGAAAAAATATGGCTGTATCTAAACACCATTCACTTAACTAACATAGTGATAAAGATAACAATTTTTAAAAATCAGACTGAAACATACCAATTAAAATGCATTGAAACAAGTCACATGTGAGATAGGGGCTTAGGGTTGATGTTTACCTGCTATTTCATCTGCAATTGTAAATTCATCCTTTACAGAAGAAAATTCAATGTCAGTCTGGTTGCTAGCATTCATGGAGCCAGATGGCTGGCTAGGGTTTTCCTCAGAGACATCTGTTGGCTACAGAAAAGCAGTATGAACATCCTGAATGTGAGCTTTTAGGTCTTCATAGGGTGGAGCTCGGAAATCGCAGCCATCACATTGCAATGCCTCCATGGTTCATCAATGATCTTTTGAATTAGAAAATTCTGCAAGAAAAACAAGGAAAGGAGAAGGAAAGAGGTGGGGATTTGCTTTGTTTTTCCCTGTTTGGTTGGTTTTGGGAGATTTTTGTTTTGTTTTTACAGAAATGCCATTCAGTGAATTCTGAAAATATATTAACATCAATCTTCCTATCACATGACTTAATGATTTCCAGAAATTCCAGAATTACTACAGCCAAATACTCAACATTTAAGAGGCACCAAGGCAATTTTGATTCAAAGAAAGTCCTATCTAGGTAACTTGCAGGTTGCTTTTATCAATGCTACAGTCAACCTTCTGACAAATGACTACTGTTTCTTGAAAGCTGAGAAAGTCCTGACAGCTTCATTGCCAGTGATTAAAAAAAAAAACAAACACACCTTAAAATGGAAACACTTGTCTTTCTTTTCAAAATCCTGTAATTCCTGACTTCAGTGGAAAACATAAGCATAATTGCAAAGTGAGATCTAAATATGTGTATCCAGAATAGAATGCTGTGCATTGGAATTAATTCCACCAATCATCGAGAACATCTCTACTCTTTGTTATAACCCTTACAGAGTTTCATTATGGTCTGTCATGGGGGACATATCTTTGGTGGGATAGGAGTTTGAGGAAAGGATGGGCAGTAAGAAGAATAGGAATGCTGCAAAAGTACAATGGAAACATAAGTAACAGCTATTTTCCCAAAACGCTTCATGACTTCACTGATCAATCCCAAAACTCTGTATACTGTAATGTACAAAGTAACAAAATTTGGTAAGATCGAGTTCAGTATGTGGCCAATTAATTCCGCATGACAGAACACTGGGGAGGAATTTATCACTAGACTCTTAGCTTATGTACTGCCATAAACAAGAGGACATGCAAAATATAAGAAATGCAAAAGGCTAAGACCCTCCTGCCCTCTACAGTAATTGGGCACAAAAGCAATCTATTATTTAAAAGTAATAATGCATTTATTAAGTTTCCCACACATTACACCGGGCCAAGATAACCTAGGAGTTCCAGAGGTCCAAGACATAATAGGAGACAAAAACATTTTACTGTGAAATTTCCATGTATTTACTGCATAATGTTAAATTACTTGTATAGCATGATGGAAACCTGCCGCAGGCAAAACAGGCTCAACTCAGGGAATTTTACTTCATTTAGTTAATTGTCAACTAACACTTTTAATTGCTGATTTGGATATTGAGAAAGAAAGAAAGAAAGCAGTGAAACAAACTATTAGGAAAACATCTTTCCTCCCCCTTCCCCAGGGTCAACTATAAGCCAGATGCTTATCCACCATCATTCCCTTAGTCTCAACTCCCCTTGTTTTTGCCACACATTAAACCAAATCAGTTCAATTCCTTCAGTGAGGTGACAGGAAGCACAGAAGGTTGGGGTCAGCACATAATAGTTTATTTCTACCTCTCCACTGTTCCTTGCTTCTTACTGCTCTGCTCCAGTGTGGGTTCCACCATGGGCCACAGTCCCTTTTGAGGGTGTCATTGCTCCTGTGTGGAGCACTTCCTTACAAGAGTGCACCTCATACCCCTATTTGCAACCGTCCTTTCTTAAATATGTTTGAACAGAGGCACCATATGCTCCTCTGATTCTTTGAAAGTTAGACTCGCAATGGGTTCTTTCCATTTGTTTCAGAACTGGCTGTTCATGGCCTCCTCCCACAATGCTCCCTTGCTACCAAAATCCAGACATTTATGCCCAATATAAAACCCCAAAATGCTTGGGCATAAAGAGAGGACACAGCATAAAATAATGCTTTGTCATATAGCCTGTTAAACTTCTGGCAAGTCTATTTCTGGAGAGTGAGTACACAGACACTCCACATGTTTAATCTACGTGTGAGAAATGCGCTCACAAAATGCAAATTTAGCGATGGATAAATTCTGTGAAGCAAAGGTTTATTAGCAGCATGCTGGGTGCATTCAGGAAATGGGATGCCTGAAAAGCACACCTGCTAATAGGTTGAGGTTTATTTATAGTAACATTCATTATCATAGCCACACATTTTTTACAAAGTTATTTACATATTCAACAGTTTTCCGGGGAGATCTTTAGCATAAGTTTCTGCCCATTGTCACACCTGCACTAGAATCCTGGGGTGGTCATTGAGGATCGCAGGGATGAAGGCTCGTAGTCTTCAGGATGAAGGCTCATTGTCTTCATCACTGTAAACTTTTCACCTTTATTGTCTCTGTGTAACTAGTCGTGATTTAGGCCAGTTTCTTGCAGCTGTGTCAGCTCATCAGTTCCTTATCTTCAAGGATGTTCTGCTTATCTTAGCTTTGAAGCACTCCCCTTTCTGTCTTTGAGATTTACCTCTGTCTGTGAATGTAGAAACCTTCCAAGCCTTGACAGTTTTAGGACCTTCGCAAATACCCTAGAAGTTACTATCTCCATCTCAATTCCCCCCTTTTCTTTTCTATATACAATGCGAATTCTTTCGCTTTTCACAGTACCCCATTATCAATTAGGGTTTTAGTGATTTTTGTAAAATTCTCGTCCTGTTATGTTCCAAAGCACCACGTCTTATGAAACTTATTTCAAGACCTTAGCCACGTTTCCATACCCTAATGCTTTAACAAATTACTTCCCATACACAATTTCTCACATATGTTACTGTGCTCACTGCAATATGTGTCCCCCACTATCTCCAACAACAAAAAAACCACCAACCAAAACAAGTACAAATGGTGCACCAGCTTCTTTTCAGCTAGCAAAGCTGCAATGATTAAGATACTTGAGCTTTTACTTGCAAGCACCAGATCAAACACTGTGGAAGAGGTTACTATCTGTTCTGACACCAAATTACAGTAGTGAGTGAAGCCTCACTCCGTGTCTCCTTTAGCACCTCCATTAGACCTGAAAACACTTTTTCCCCCATGGAGCAAATGACTTCTGTCTTTAGAGCACTTCACAGAAAAGCAGATCATCCATTTTTAACTATCTGTTCTCCAAGTTTTCTCATCTCAACCAAACAAGCCACAGCTCTGCTGAATGTGTTTATCACACTTTCAAGAGGTATGAGCCCCTGCACCACTGAAGCTTTAAGACTCACTGAACTGCCTTACTCCTCTGAGCTTTGGAAGTAGCCATTTTAGCCCAGACAACTGTATTCAGTGGCTCATAGTGTTACCAAAATATTGGCTCAATAACTTTCTAAGACCAGTTTGTAGGAGTTAGAACACAAGACATTCTTTAATTCAGCGCTGGGAGCATACATGTATCATTCCATAATTGTATGCACGAAGTATTAGTGGTTGCCAGTAGCTTATATGTGCCTTACACATACATATTCATGACATAAAAAGTTTACATATGTATTACATTTCCAGTAAAAAGTTTACTTATATGCTACATTTCCTGTAACTAATTAAAATATCTGCATAGTAATTGTGCACACTCGATTAGCATGCGGAATGGTCTTCCAGTGGTCTGAGGAATAGTCACTTAAGCTGTGTCTTCATGGAGTCTTCTTATCTTTCAGGTTCCTGTGCTTTTGTTTAAGGGTGTAAAAGGGTGTAAGGAGGGGGGCACTGATAATGCATGTCAATTACTGGCTGCAGAACTGGTGTTGGCAAAAGGGTTTTGGGCCCTATGTCCATGGGACCCCATTTGCAGATCAATGTCTGCTTGGGAGAGATGAGATCTACCTCACAAAGCAGAGCACAGCTATTTTTGCCAAGAAAAAAGGCTGTCCTAATAAGGAGGGCTTTAAACTAAGAATGATGGGAGAAGGAGAGAGTAACCAGCAGCTCTGTGAGAGTGATGGACAAGGTCCACAAGCAAAGGGCCTAGGGTGATGTGACAGGAATTGAACACAAAATCAACAAAACAGGGCTTAAGCAGTATCACCTCCAGCACTTGCATGTGAGCGAGGAAGTGCCTACAAGGTACCATTACAGGGAAGTCCCCCAAAACCTTTCTAGGAAGTCAACATGTTTCTCTGTCCCAGTTTGAGCTAAATAGAACTAATTCTCTATTTAGTTATTTTACTTTTCAGTTAAGTCTCTTCTAAGTGACTGTATTTTCTGAAACTAACAGCATGTTTTTCCAGACAGTGTTCATTTCTACAATGGATAGTGCTTGATGTTTATAGTTACTATTAGGTATGGTATGTAAATATAGCTCTTGCTTATACTTGTGCCTATACAGACTGAGGCCATTGCCACATCATGGGCACCATATTGGGATGTCGTAACTCAGGTGTCACACCTGCAGGGAGGAGCGGGCAGGACAGATGACCCAAAACTGACCAACAAGGTATTCCATCCCACATATGTCATACTCGGTATAAAGCTAAGGGATCACGAAGGTCAAGCTCTTTTCTTCCCCTTCTGCCATGGCCGATGTCTGAGCAGAACTCTGCAAGTTTGTCTGCTGATCCCAAGAAAGTAGGAAAATAAGTTCACTCTCTAAGACTCCTCTTTGAGTTTTAGAAAGCAGGCATTCTTTATTATGCGCAGGGAGTCCCCAGGATCATTCCTTGGGAGGACTCCCCCACCTAATAAAGAATGCCTGCTTTCTAAAAATCAAAGAGGAGCTTTAGAGAGTGAACTTATTTTCCAGCTTTTCATGGAATCAACTTTGCATCACAGATGGGACCCTCTCTGCTTGGCTGCAGTATCCAGTGGGAAGCTGACTCCCTAGGGCGCCCCCAGGATCTTCTCAGAGGGACTCCTTGCCTCACCTGAATCACTGTGGGAGCAGACAAGGACCATAATTTGAAAATGGTATTATTTACAAACTTGTTTGGATAAAGCTAGCCAAGGGTAAGGCTAGCCAAGGGGAAGGATAAGGCTAGCCAAGGGTAAAAGACCCATAAGTCTTGTTGAGACATCTCACGCAGGGCTTACATGGGATTACTAGTACCTATGTCTGGTTTGGTGGTAAGCCTCCAAAATAGTGCAGATTTGGTACTAAATCAGCACTAGTAGGGAGGAAAGGGCAAAAGCGCAAAGGTA